TTAAGCCCGTTTCCGTTGCATGCCTTCACGCTGGCGGCGTTTCATTTGTTTTGACACATTCATTACCAGTACAGGCATTTTTTTCATTACAAGACAAGAAGGAGACTCACAGCCTTGGCATTACGTGTTTTTTTTTTTTTTTTTTTTTTTTTTTCCCCGCTCCCGTCCATCACAAGTTTCGTCAGACAAGTTTGTCGACTTTTTACTTCTGAACACTTTAGAAGAATTGAATTCACGTTAAGTTTATCATTTTTTTTTCTTTTATTATTTCTGAAACTTTTCGCACTTTTTCATTTTCCGTTTTCTTTTATTTCTTTATTTTGATTTTTTTTTTATATTTTCTACGAAAGCCAAATTTTTACCTTTCGCTTCTTTTGTATTCCACCCAGCCAACTTCTTTTTGTTTTTTTTTGTTGCTCCACACAAGCCAAGATTAATTTTCTTTTTGATGCCAGTTCAGTTTCTTCCTTATTTTATGAGCCAAGTTTAATTTTCTTTCACGCCACCACACTGCGAATTTAATTCATTTTTTTTTTTTTTATGTTCTTTTCTTTTTAATTTCATTCCGCGTAAGACTTGTTTATATTCTCGGACTGTCGAGGCGTCCATTTGTGGGAATTTGTGGAAACTTTTACATTTGACCGCTGTAGTGGTGACTTCATCACCATAGCGGAAACTGCTAAATCACCCTCGCCCCGACCCCCCGTGGAAGGCATTTGATAGTTTCTAACATCGGTACCTGGCTGCTGTTCTGCAGGCCGCCGGTGGATTAGCCTCCTGTATCTGTGGTGCAGTTGAACGAAATGCCGTCGTGTAGTTTACGCTGTCTCGGTCGGTTTGCAAGGGTTGCCCAGCTATCCCCCTTTACACTTTGGCTTTGGAGCCTCTCCTTCGCCCGTTGAGAGACATGGCGTACAGTCCGACTCTACGTGGAATGACTGTTTCTGGTGGCACTCGAGCAGTGTTTCCGCCTATACCGATGACGTGTCCACTTTCGTGTCGTGCCACAGCGACATTGAGAGGTTACGAAGGCCAAGATTAACCGTGACAAGTCTTCTTGCTTGCGGTTAAATGCCTGGAAGGGGGTTACACTTCCGAGGCCCTTTGTTTGGACTGAAAGGCCGGTGCGCAGTTGGAAAAAAATGGTCAGAAATACAGGCAAAGATCAGCGCATCGGTCGAGATTTTGAGCCGAAGGTGGTTATCTTCGAAGTGTTGGGCTGAGGTGTGTGCTACTTACGTCTTTCCTCTCATCCTTTACCGGTTGGTGCACTTCCTATATGTAAAGAATTTAAGGTGATCGAACGTATGCTCTCCTCCATTATGTGGGGTGGTCGCAAGCATCACGTCGACAGAGATGTCTGTGCCCAACGTCCGTGTCATAGCGGGGGCTGGGATTACTACATTGGCGAGGCACTGAGATACCTCGAGCTTAGTTTTCCTACGCTGCGACTTGGCAGAGGATTCGATCTTGAGGGTGAGTGTGAGGGTTGCATCCCCTCGCCTTAGCATGACTACTACTATTTCTAACGCTGAGTGCCATCGTAGGCCTTGGGATCAGTCGAATTTCTTCCGAGAGTGTCGATCGGCCTTGAGGTTCATTTCTCGGTCCAGTGACCTTTCTCAGCCTAGGACAGTGTTGCATGGGGAATTAGTGGAGGGGATCGCGACAGATATGCTTTGCGCATTATTTGGTTTGTCGGCGACCGATTTGCGCTCTTTCTTGTCTTGGGCGCCAGCGGAGATTATCTTAGCAACCATGAGTTTTCCCTTACCTGTAGATTGGTTCGGAATAGGCTACCGCTCAATGACTTACTCGTCAGATGTGGCTTGGCCGACTTGCATGAGTGTCCTCGATGTGACCTCGGTTTAGAGAAAACCGCTTCACACACCTAATATTGTCCTCGGGCGATCCCCCTCTGGGACTATGTCGGCGTGTTGACTGCATGTATCACTCCCGTAAAGCACATGTTCATTGATCGCGCATACGTGTGTGACTGTGTTGCCTCCGTATTCTGGGGTGAAACAGATGATGTTTCTGACTCTGGCCACTGCTAGAACGGTGATTTGGACGACGCGGATAGAGAAAATCTTGCGATGTGATCGCTATTCTCATTATAATCTAACCATATTCTTTGATATTAACAAATTTCAGCGAAAGGTGGATAACTATGGCAAGCCTGGTTCGCTCGATCGTAGCTAGCCTTGATTTTATTTTCTCTCCCTAAGTCACAGTGGGGCGGTTTCCTGCGATACCATCCCCTGGTTAAGATGGTATTTATCAATTCACCCACAGGAACTGAATGTGGCACAAGGCCTTTTTAATGTGGGTATGTCTGAGCCCGTAGGCCCAGCCAAAAATAAAACCCATCTAAACCCGTCCAAGCGGGCTAGTTCCGTCAACCTCCCGAACGAAACCCCACCCTTCGGCGGAGATTCGTCCGGGTTCCTCTTCAAAAGCAGAGTTCGACAGACACCCGACCCGGCAGCTCACAAAGCGCAGATACTACACTTTGATCCTAGCCACCGGGCCGAGCGGGTATTCTTTTTATTGATTGGTAAGATAGACCCTTCTTGTGTACCTAGTTAATGAGAGTAAGTGTCGTTCCTAGCCTATGCCCGGCTTCTCCCAACGATACAAATCGAGATTCCCAATCTCTTCAATTTGTTTTGGCCTGCACTTTTCATCTCGTCAGTGTCAGTTTTTTTTTGTTTTTTTTTTTTAATTTTCGAATGCCCATAGTTTTTTTTTTATCCGTCCCCCTCATCTTGAACATCTTGATTTTATCATTTAACAGAATACAGCGGCAACGCTTATTTTTCCGGTGTTGTCGTGTCTTACTAACATCATACTTTTTTCATTTTGTTTTCGCCGTCATTACCCCACTTCTTTCATAACATTGATAGACGTTTTATACAATTGTAAATATTGAAATTTTTAAGTCATGGGGTGTTTTTTTTTTTCAGTAGTGTCCCTTTGTGAATGAGATATTTGTGTAAATACAGGCGAATAGTAACGGATAGATTCTTATGGTGAATGAGTAAATTGTAACGAATGAATGGATAGTGAATCTGATTAGCTAGGTATAACATAGTGCCGACTAGCTTTGCCCCATCTCCCTTTTTTCGGCCTTGTGCCACAATTACTGTATTTAATCAGTATTAAATCGAAGAAAAGCAATGTTTGTACAAATACTTATTGTTATATACCTTTACTATGAACACTAGAGGGTATGGTCAATCCTCATAAATACGTTGGACACTATTTTAAGTGGCGGTAATATGCTGGCTAAGTCTTGGCGACTTGCAGTGGTTTACCTACTTCACGCCGCTGGCGAGTATTGTATTTTGTTGATGTTATAAAGATTACCATTTCATTTCCAACCTCCGTTTTGTTATACCTTATTCAGTAACGCTTTCTGGGTTACAGCACTTAAAAACTTTGGTAGATTTGTATATTTTTATACTTGGATTTTTTTTTAAATTTAACTTGAAGAGAGACATACGGACGAAAAATCGATTTAAATTATCAAACAGTGTAATTTTTCTTTTCTTTTACTTTTCTTAAATCGCGCTCTTCTCTTAAGTGTTGAAAAATATTGGAAAAATTAAGTCAACCATTTGGCTTAATAATAACAATACTAGTCAGAGCGAACAAATAATAATTATACAGGATTTTTTTTTTTAAGTATATTAATGGGTTAATTTAATAGTTTTTTTTTTTATTTGTTTCTAAGTTTCTCTCTTGTCTCAGTATATTGATTCGTTTTGTACGGCTTATGAACTGTTTGCAGAAGCCATAAAATATTTTTAGACTATAAGATTTCTTTGTTTTTGAGTTATTAATGATTTAGTGATACAAGTCTCGATAATTAACTCATAGCGGGGGTGGAAAGAGGTAGATTCAGACCTTTTCCCAAGGGTATTTATACGTCTTCAGGCCCTTTTCCATCGCCGTAATGTAGTCTCCCTACGTCTTTTCTATAAATACTTTCATAGCAATTGTTCGAATGAACTCTTCGCTATATTAACTAGATTTTATGAATTTAAGGGCAGTACTAGATTGACAGCACGGTCCCATCAATTTACAGTTGAATTCGCTAGATGTAACCGTATGTTCTATTCTAACAGTTTCTTTTCTCGCACTTCTCGCTTGTGGGACATTCTTCCGGCTCCAGGTTTTCCAGTTTAAACTTCAAAATAATCAAATGCAATGTTAATCTTTATCTGCTATCTTCCTGTTTATGCTTCCATTGCTCTCGCTGATTAAAATTGTTTCTGCTTTCTAATTCTTTCATAGCCAGTAATCCCCTGTTTCCTACTGGCTTGCATAGGGCAATTCGAAATAAAAGGTTATCCAGTAACCAAACGCATTTGAAAGTCTGCCATTCGTCCATCCATCGAATAATCCTGCCATATTTGGGGGATCCTGTTATATATCTAGAGAGTCTTTATGAAATCCAAAGTAGAACCTGCAATGTTATTGATGCTGATCTGGCATCCCGGCTTCAGTCACTTTCCTACCGCCTTAATGTAGCTGCCTTGTGCTATTTCTATAAATACTTTTATGTTATTTGCTTGATCGTCTCTACGCTAGGGTAATTAGACTTTATGAATTTAAGCGCAGTGCTAGACTGGTAACGTGGTTTCATCCGTTTACAGATGAATTGGTTAGATATAACCGTATGTTTTATGCTAATAGTTTCTTTTCTCGCACCTCTCCCAGTCCATTTTGATCTTCAAAAATTTCAAATGCAATGTCAATCGCTATCTACTGTCTTCCTGAGTACTCTCCTATTGTTCTCTCTCCTTAGTAATGTTTCTTTTTTTCTAATTCTTTCGCACCAAGTAACCCCTAGTGTCTCAGTGCCTTTACTGTATCACTTGTGGTCAATTCGATTTTTTGAAACGTGAATATAATAAACGCAACTGGAAGTGGAACTCGTGTTTCCGACTAAAATCCCGCGGCATTGTCCGTTACATCACACGCACATCCAAGCTTACTGTACCCGTTATTTCCAAGCGGTCACCCATCTAAGTTCTAACGAGGCACAACGTTGCTTAACTTCGGTGATCCAAAGGGAATCGCTGTTTCAACATGATTCGGCTGTTAGCTTTAGTCGCATTTGTGGTCAGCTGAAACAGCCGTAATCACCATCTGACAGCTGATTGTTTTTTTTCTATGACCAAACTACAAATATATCTGTTCAACTCTATCAGACAGGACGGTGTCTTTGTGAAATTCAGTCTTATGAAATCCATTATAGCGAAGAAAACGGCGATTTACCTCGTCAAACCAAGCGACAGCGCGTCGCGTGTATTCTACGACGGAAAATGTGGCGAAAAAGAAAATTACTTACCAAACAAAAGGGCACGTATTCCGCATGACATGCTGAAGATTGAATATTTGAGTTAAAAAAAAAACAAGTCCGTCGCAGGAGTCGCTATAAAAGTATTTTCATATACAAAATACTGAACATCCTCTGACAGCTGTCGACGAATGGAAAAATGGTCGGCCGATAAAAGCAGTTAGTGTTCTCGAATCGACAGATAAAAAGTCGGCTATTGTGGCTGCCACGTTGGAGAGTGGGGTATTTTTCTGACTGGTTGCGTGCATTGTGATTTGTGAAATAGTACTTGGGAATCGAGTTTTCGGCATTTTTCTTTCTGTTCCCGATATTCAAATCTGAACTTAGGGATTTATTCTCTGTGACGTGGAAATAATCTGCGACAAACATTTCCTTTGCAATCCCAGATCGCTGACATCCATTAAAGACAACGAGCCGCCTCATCTCCCCCATGTACAGCACTCACATTAATAATCATCATTTGTTCACAACCACAGGATTTATTCTTCTAATTTCTAATTCTTTGAATGCTTGTGTTCTGCTTATATAACTCAGATCAACAATGAATTGCTATTCGTCTGTGATGTGAATATTGCTGCCGTATATGACCCGCTGTTTCTGCTGTATATTTAGAGGTTCTGGATAAAATTTAAAGAAGAATCAGCAATATTATTGGTGCTGATCTGGCAACACGGTTTCAGTCATTTTTTTCCGCCGTCGTAATGTTGCTTTAATGTAGCTTTACCATAAATACGTTCGTGGTAATTGTCAGGATGAACTCTTCACTGTTACAAAGACTTTATGAATTTAAGCGCAGTTCTTGATCGACGTCAAAGTCTCATCAATTCCCAGTTGAATTAGCAAGATGTAACGGTAAGTTTTATGCTAATATACTCTCCTCTTGCACTTTTCAGTTTTGGAACTCTCTTCCGGTTCTATTTTTGCCAGCTAACTTTGATCTTCAAAAATTTAATTTCAATGTCAATCGTTATCTACTGTCTTCCTGTTTATTTTCTATTGTTTTCTCTCCTTAATAAGGTTTATCTTTTTTTAAAATTAATATTCTTTCATACTCAATAAATACTTTTGTCTTAGTGGCTATACTGCGATACATGGGGTGAAGTGATTAAAAAAAAAACGTTACAGAATTTCTAGTTACTATAGGCTGAATCAGAGTTTCCTGTCGTTTTGTTTTAATTTCACATTGGCATGTGCAGCACGGTTTAAATTCGTCATTTATAAGATTTTTAAAAGCTTTTGTTGTGAAAAAAAGTTTCATATTGTTATATACCGTACCTATAAACACCAACGGGTATGTCCCTATCCTCATAAATACGGTGGGCTCTATTGTAAGGGTGTCTAAGTAGTTCACCACAAGCAGTGGTTTACCTACATCACGCCGCTGGCAAGTATTGTATTTAGTTTATGTTATAAAGATTACTATTTCATTCCCAACCTTCGTTTTGGTTATTCCTCATTCAGTAACCTTTTCTAGGTTACAACATTTTGGCGACGAGGATGAAATATTAGAAAGTTGGAACTGTAGTCATAAAAGTCGGCAGGATTATATATTAATCAAAAGACTGAAAATGGTGTACAAAAGGCACTTGAATCAAACAAAATGTAGGAATATCGGTGAAGTGCACGATATTCCAATGGATGTTGAGTCTATGGAAGTTCTTTTAGGCACATTTAATGTGTCCATTCTTCGGAAAGCTCCTGAGACAAAAATCTAAAAAAGACAAATTAAGAGAAAAAGATGGGTACAGAAAGAATCGAAATTAACCCGAAAAGGAAAAGATATTGACTCTGTGTAGAGTAAATCTAGAAAGAGTGGTGTTATATAACGTATCTATGGACACTAATATGTATGTCTCAATCTTCATAAATACGTTGGACACTATTGCAAGTGGAGGTAATATGCTGTCGAAATAGTCTAACACTTTCACACCGCTGGCGTGTATTGCATTTTGATGTTATAAAGATTACCATTTCATTTCCAACCTCCATTTTGTTTATTCTTCATTCAGTAACCTTTCCTAGGTTATAAAAGGTGTCCTTATCAGAATAAAGAGATACATCACCATTTCAGCGTCCTTAATTATTATCATTGTGACGTCCCTAAACACAGCCTTCGCTCGCTCCTCGCTGCTTCTTTCGGGTGTCGCCGCTTTAAACGTGGCGTCCGCCTGTCGCGTCAGTCGTGTTGTCTCGTCCCGTGACGACCAACTGGCTTGGTATCGATCGCGGCACCCAAATGTGACGTTCTAAACTTTTGGTGATTCGGATGGGAATCTGGTTAGATTCGATATCAGCCTCGTCGTTCCCAACTCGCTTCCAACGTCTGGTTACCAAAGTAACTGCGTTGATCTCCAGTCTTCCTACCCACGTTGTGAATTGATCTTAGGCAGACGAAATCAATCAGTCGTTAGGGCCGTATGCAAGTTGGGTTCAAGCGGGGGTGGTATCGCACAAATATGTATAAAAGAAATAAAATGATAACTCAAAAGTTCAAGGTATCAAAGAAAAGGATAACAAACTTTATGTCTAGTTGTTGGATACATAGGACTGCGTCTATCTCCCGACCCGTTCTATGGATTGTGACACGTTGTTTTCCGTTAGGCGAGTTTTAACACTTCAAGTTGTTTGCTCTTTAAGAAATTGGTTTTTCGGTGTGTCTTCGGGCGAAAGTCGAAAAAAACTTATTTTGGTGGTCTGGATCTAAGTCGCTCTTCAAAATAATTGTTCTTGGATTGAAGATGAGTTCGGAAATTGCGCGAATCTTGGTCAGCCGATGCGAGGCTTGCCTCAACTGAGCACTGGAGACTGACTCTGGGAACTGTCTCTCCCGAACTCAAATCTGAAACTCGAACTCGAACTCTCTGCTGGAACTTAACTGATTTCTGCTCGCTGCGACCTTGCTTATATGGACGCCGACCAAAACCGGGGTGGGTTTGTCGGCGCCAGTGGTTCCTCGATAATTCTAAATACATATCCACTTCTCTTATTTTTGGTTAGGAATTTTCCACTTCTTTCCATTTTTGGGAGCCCTCTCTTACTCCCACCTTCTCACCATACTTCAGAGGGGCGTGAACTTCCCTCCCCACTTCTTCGTAGCAACCTCTCATACCCATCCTCTAGATGGGCGGCGACAGCTTCCTCATTGCGTCACGTGATCACCACTCGGCCAATGATATGTAGCCGAGCCTGTGTGATCCCGCGGGCTTTGTTTCAGGAAAAAAAATTTGCTTAACAAAAAAAAATTATCTTTTTCTTTTCCTTTTTAATCGCAGCTCTCATTTTCTCTGGCCGCAAATAGAACAATGCGATCGGTGGTCGTCATGACTCTTGTTCTCACCTGGACTTCGTCAGTCATCTTATCGCTAATTATCAGAATGGGTGGTCTATTTGACACAATACAATCGTCCGTCGCCTCGAAAAAAAAAACATTTCCATGGTTCTAGTCATTCTTTGGTGCACATTTCTGATAACATAGTTTTATTATCGCAGCCAAAGATGTCTTGTCAAAAGAAAAACGGTCAGTCGCCACCTCGTGTGCGGCTTTGACACAATTAATTTTTCATATCTATCCAAAGCCCTGTAGTCCACCTGTTTTTTGTCAATTATCAAAATAACATTTTCAATTGGATTTTTCTTTGGCTAGTCGGTCTGTGGTTTGCTTAATCAGATGTTTTCCCGCATTAGAGGTTTGTTTATGTATCCCCGATAACACAGCTCGTCGCCAGAACACAACGATTCCTTTATCCACTTAGAATTTTTCTGCCATTGTAATGACAGTTTTTGCCATTTGCTACTTATCAAAATATCTTTTATCCATAGTCGTGGGTGTCCTACTTATCATCCACGTTTGGGTCTCGCCTCTCTTTTCCTCTCTTTCCTTTCTTTTCTTTTTTGCCTCGGTAAATGGTGCCACATCATTATTTTCCTTCGATTGTATAATCATTTCCTTCCGAGTCCCAAACAGAAACATGTGATCAGATTTTTGGGAGGAACTTTCCTCCAAATTAGTAGAGATATAATCTGTAAGATGTCTTTATATTAATCTCCACCAATATTTTCTAACGTCATTTAAGATTACTGGATCAAAACTTACCTTTATTTCAAATATGATTTTCTTTTTTTTTCTTTTTTTTTTTCTCAGGCACACGTAGAGTAAAATGTGATACGATGTTGATGTTCATAACATAACAAATTAATATTTTGCAAGACACCATTATAACGCCAATTTCCTTTCAAATTATTCTTTTTTGTGTGTCACATAATTGTTTCCGTTAGTCTATCTGCAATAGCACACATCCACGTTAATTTTTCTTTTTAAGTCTCTTTTGGATTGTTTCCATTACATATATTTGGTTGCTCTTTTTACTTTTCTTTTTTTTTTCTCCTCCAATTTTACTTGTCATCTTTTACTTAGCAGTATATATAATATTTCCTTCTTCCTACCATCTTTTTCATCTTCTCCCTCTTATTCCGCTCTGTTTTCTTCATTCTACATTTTTTAATCTTTTTCTTTTCTCTTATTAACTCTTCTCTTTTTCTTTATCTTTTCCTTCTTGGGTAACTTATTTTTTGTCAATTGTTTCTAAATTTATTTGATTTATAATTTGATTTTCAGGTAGGATTGTTACTTTTATTCACTCCTTTATTTAAAAAGAAAATCTACAATCGATTTTCTGTTTTAATTTATCGAAGAGTTGACACCTAGATATCCAGTTTCCACAAAATAGC